TCCACCATCAAGTTGCTTCTTGCGATTTATTTTCTTTTTGTGTTCTCCTTGCAACCTGGCCTTGATTATGCATTAAGTTTTCTCATCACTGCATGTTTGTTTTTTGTTTTTTTGGTGTTGTTTTTATTTCTTTCATTGCTTGCACATCTGGGTGATATTGGTTCTCCAAAGGAAAGCCAGCATCATGGGCCTGTCAGGACAGTAGGTAACTTTTTTGTCAAATTTACACCAACAAGCAGTCTAGTGTAACCTGAAACTACCTGTCTGTCTGTCTGTGATATTTTGTAACATATATATATATATATATATATATATATATATATATATATTCCACTGGGCGGGATGGTCTAATACATGTAATATGCTAATTCATTACAGTTTCATTAAAGAATCATTTCCGATTCAGGGCTCATCAGAGATGGAGGCAGAACTGTTCGTCCTTGAAACATGAGACATTGTGTCTTTCAAGTATTATAAATAGCACAGCATATTTAATGTGCATTTGATGATAAGAGCTCTGCTCTCAGGTTTATTAGCAAAGGATTCAGTGAGTTTGTTTTGTATTAAATGGCCAACCAGGTCACCAGCTCAATTAAAACTCCACTGTTGATGTGAGTTTGAGTTAAATTGAGTTTATAAAACTTTGAAAATGTGTTGTCTGTTCCTTTTCTGTAAAGCATAGCCAAACTGCAATTACTTGTATATATATATACTCCAATCCATGTAATTTCTTTGGAGGAATTGATAAAGTTTTCCTCATTTGGCAGTTTGATAAATTGTAGTAGGATTGTACTTGTGGGTCTGTTTTTATTATTCACCGTTAGTAAATAATTGATGCATCCTGCCAGGACATTTACTATTAATCTAGTATTAATCTAGCAAATGATTGTACGATTTCTGTTTAACTGGGCAGTTTCGTATAATGTAAAGATGTCCAGACAAGACATTGAGCAAGTGGCAAATGTTTATTTTCTCCTGGAAGTGGAACTCTAATGATGTCTAATTTCTCTAAGGTCTATTTTATTGAATGGTACATGCCATAATGAATGAAACCCACCAGAAGGTTCAACTACTGGCTGAAACTTAATGTTTCTAATTGAACCTTTTGTTTTCAAGCTTGTTGTTAAGCCTGCAATGAAAAAAGAATGATTGAGTCATTTTGGTGTGCCACTTATGCTTTTATTACAGTTTTTCTCGATTGCTTAAACACATTTCTTTAAACTATGCCTCGTATTCTCAAAACAGTAAACACAAATCCATAACATCTCACCCAATTCCCCAAACATCCTATTTTCAGGTCAAAATGAAGCTCTACACTCAAAACCATTCACTCTTGCTGAAAAACCAAACTTTTCCCTCAGACATCACACACAAGCTTTCAAAAACACATACACTACAACATAGTATTACACACTGGTGCAATAAATTCAAAACAATATATCCAAAACTGGTAAGTTATGTTGCTTGCTGTTCTCCCCCTCAAAAACCTTTTCACATGAACACAAAAGACACAACCAATGTATACATTGGCACATTTTTATTCATTCATGTACTACACAGCACAACTGTAAAAAAAAAAAAATTATTATTCCTCCTCAGCATCCCGTCTTTGTTCTGGGTCAGGCCAGAGAATCTCGTCCACATCACAGGCTATACTGGCCCTAGCTAGGCAGCGGGGGGGAAATCCTCTTGCATGCCTGATCCACCCCTGCATGGCATCAGCTGAAATGTCTAGTCAGGCTTCTTCCATTCCATCGTCTCTGTGTCCTACAAAAATAGAAGTACTGATTACTGTAACTGTAACATCCTTTTTACAAAATGGAAGCAGACAGAAACTCTATCTGTATGTAAGGCAATTTGATGCATGTGTTGTAACAGAGTACAGCACTCAAAAGTTACAGTAGAGTACACTGAGGTACACCTACCTGTTTTCCTCCCTGAAGGTTCTTATGATCGAGGCGACGGTGAAGCAACTTAAGTTTGGCTGAACTCATTGCCCAGCCTCCCTCATAGTCATACCATGGACAAGGACATGGTCAACTAGTGGCACGAATTTCATCTGAGACTCCTTGTCTCCTTGCCCCTCATCCTCATCCTCCTCCTCTTCCTCTTCCTTCACCTCTTCCTCCACTCCTTACTGCTCTTGCTCATCCTCTTCCTCCTCCTCCTCCTCCTCTCTGGTGTCCTCGACCTTTTCAATCACATCTCTCTGGATCCATTGTTCCAAAACTGAATGAACTGACTTGGGCTCTTTTATCTATCTATTGAAGGTTCTGATTGGTGTGTGATAAATTTTGACTCTTAGTGTTTCCACGTGGGTAACTGTGTGCTAATTGAGCTCAAGCTATGCTGACTTGAGTGAACAATATTGAATGCTAGTGCTTTCTAAATGACAACATGGTCTAGGCAATGAGAAATGAAGGGATTTGTGTGTAGAGTTTTGCAGTAACAGTTCACCAAATCTGATTCATGTGTTAAAGCAGGGGAATAGTGTTTATAGTTTAGGGAAATGGGTGTGCTTTTTGATAAATGGCGTTATGGTTTTGAAATTTTAGTTCAAAAGCCTGGTGATAGTGTTTAAGCAATCGAGAAAAACTGTAATGTTTGAAAAGTTGTTTCGAAAAACATCAAAAACAGCTTTACCTTCTGCCATTTTGTTTCAACCCATCAAACGTATAGTACGACCAGGGGGGT